TAATGTGTATATAATTGTGTCAAATTTGAATTCAATGAATATACTTCTATCGTTGTACACGGAAAACAATTAAGAACGAAAAATGAACTGATTATATCGATTAGCCTATGGTATTATTAGTTATTACCTACTAAGTATTAATTTATTCATGAAATATTTTTTAATTGCTATTAAAGTTATTTATTTATTACGGTGAGCTGATTTAATTTTTGCTGAAAACCGTTGCATTTATTATAGTAATGATACAATTAATTATGTTAATTGTTTATGATATTTTAGCATTTAAGTACTACAAAAATTATTCAAAATTTCATGTTCTAACGTTCAATTTGAATTAACGCTCATTTTTATTTTTTTTATTCAAGTATTAACATTTAAAAAAAAACGGTCCAAGCGAAGAGGGACAACGTTATAACAATATAATTGTATTAATAATTCAAGTGAATATTTTTTTCTATTATTTATTTTAAAAAGTTCTGAACATTTTTAATTTTGACATCTCAAAAGTACCAACTAGATCCAATTCGCTACCAAAAATCTTCAACAAATTCGATGACCCGAGCATTTTTTATAATTGATAACCGGTCTTCAAAMACAAAACAATAAATAAATAAAATACATTCGTCGCTCCGCGATGACATGTTTGTTTCAAATGTGAAAACACAACATTGCATTCATTGGTTAGCTCAAAATCTAAAAAACTACGTTTGCGTTTCAAAATACAAGTGTCTGCTTTTTAATTATTCTCGACGATGTAATAATATATTTTAATTATACATTATTATAAAATCATCCGTTTTTATAGACACAGCGCATAATATCCAATGCAACTCCAATTTTACTAAATGCCTAAGCGCATAGTCAAATAATTTAATTTGTATGCTATTTCACTATCTGCTTAGATATTTAGTTAAATGCCTAGTCATTTAATAAAATAACTATCTAGGCATTAAACAAAATGCCAATTTCAAGTCAGTCAAATAATAACAATTAATCATTTTGTATTATTTTAAAAATGTAATTATATTTTCTATTAATTATTTATTGCTGTTTTGTAAAAAAAAAAAAACTATGTATAGTGAAATTACATTCAAATTAAATTCTTTGATTATACGCCTATACATTTAGTAAAATTACTGATTTTATTATATGCCTACGACAGATATAAACTATGGTCAACAAAATTACGTTCGGTACCATATTGGTGGTTTAAATTTTCATCTTATAATGTATATACATAAATATATAAGTATAAATATATATGTACAAAAAACTTCGTTTTTTGTTTAATGTCTCCCGATAGATTCAAAAACCGTTGGACAGTTTTCAATAAAAGTTATATCAATAGATTCCTTGGAGACTCGGATAGTGTTTATAGTTTATTTACTTAAACCCATATATTTTATGATATAGGGTGGAATTGGTGGATCACTTATGAATCAAATTTTATCCCAAGAAAATCGAATTTTTTTATTTAAACGAATGCCATTGGTTATGCGTTACATTACTATTATAATTAAAAGAAATATGGCATATTAGAATACATAATTTTTAAGAATAAATATATAATATATTTTATATAAACTCATAAATGCGAATGCCAATATTCACAATATTGGATTTATGTCCATTTTTAAATGCATTGACGAAATCGTTTACAGTTTCTTGTAATTTACACAAAAATACGACCAGAACAAATTAATGAGAGAAAATTAAAAAAAACTAATCATTGTTATTGTTTTTTCATTTTATGTTTCAGCTGAGGCCAAATAGAAAACGATACAATTATAGGTTAATTTTAATCCAGACAAAGTTGGGTATAATACAGCTATTTATATAATAAATCATATTAATTTGTGTTTATATTCAAATGTATATAATTATTAATATCACACATTTTATCATTTAACAAGTAGGTGACTAAACAATGGCAACTATAATATACACATATTATATTTCCACCACGATAAGGAGTGTATGATATTCTATAGATCGTTTACTTTATACACTATAAAATAAAAAATATATTTCGTTGAAAATAATAAAATATTCTCTTTGTTCACCGTAGACATTTTCACCCATCACGATTTATTCTGTAATATTATACAACACGTTCCATAATATATCCTTCTCCTGTATTTACTAACTACAAGCTGTGCCCCGTGAATCAATAATATTATGTTATTGTATTCAATTTATAACAGAATCTAACCATCGGTGTCATTCGAGTAGGCGGGGTAAGCATTTGTGGCCTTGTCTAGTTTTAAAAGCAGTTCAACTGTTGGGCTGATATTAGTGAAAAAACATAACTAAATAACTAAATATTTTTTTTTTAGTTTGAGATAATATGCATATAGTATTATGTAATTGAAAATTAATTTCACGATACTAATAATTATAATTCATAGTCTTAGATTCCAAGCAGAGCAAATTAATGTATTTATCTTACCTAACCTTTATGGTGAGTAGTCTAAATAATGTTTCGATTTTCAACTTCAGTATCTTTTCCCGTGGGAAAATGAACCTAGTTTGTGCAATCGGGAGGTCAAAATATAAAATTCCCAGAAGTTTTCAAATGTACCGGGAAAAACGAAAAAAAAATTAAAGAAAAATGAAAATTTGTACGTCAAATCGGTTTTTGGTGTAGCTCTGGAAAAAATGTCCATAGATATATCAACTTTTCACTGAATATTTATATTAACAATTCCAATACACAATAGTCCTAGAAAACCACAGATACTGTTTTGTTCGATCACGTAGTGGATAGGGTTGATTAGTTGTCAGCTGTGGTGAATGGTATTAAATAGACACAACAAAGCACATGAAAGCCACGTTCGATTCTCAGCTAATAAAACAAGCTGGACAATGACAACGGGACAATCAGTTCAGTACGAGTAGAACACATATAACGAACTGCAGAAAAGCCCATCTTTTAACACATGTAACTCCACCCTTTATCTCCTCTTTTCGTATAACTTCCTCACTGTTATACGCTATTGAAATCTCATTTCTATTATATTTCTATTATATTACTATTATTATTATTATTGATATTACGAAAACAAAATTAAGAAACTATAATCTAATATATACATTATAGACCTGAAGAAAGTAATACATTATATCAAATATCCTCTGTAAAAAAATTGACTTTTACACATCACTATAAAATCAAAATGGACTTAAATATAGAGTTCTAAGATCCCTGAGATGTATAAAACCAGAGACATATTTAAGGGGGATCAGTGGGAAATTTTTTCGAGACATAATAAAATATATAGGGTGAGTTTCAAAAGTAAAATTATAGCTGCATAAGTTTCACCCCAAATATAAATACTAATAAAGATCTAATTCGAATTACAGCTCGGGTGTTTGTACGTTTTTTTTTAGTTTTTGTTTAAATTATATTCAAGTGATTGTCCGGAGAATAATTTTCATTTTAAAATATGACCATCACATTAAATGTTTGATTATGGTTTAATATGATAGTTACAAATTAATAAATTCAAATTTTTATTAAAAAATATCAAAAATGTTTTTACGTGCAGTGTTATAATAATATTAATTTAAAAAATTAATAAAAACTGAAGAAAAAAACATTTTTAACCTACCTATAGGATGTAATACATAATAATATTAGGTATACTTCTGGTGATCTATGTGATAATGAAAAGGAAAATTAAGTTTCATAATAATAACTATATAATATTTATTGTTATATTTTATGTTTTCAATTTTTCCTATAATATATATACCCAACAAAAACATTTACTGCAATTCAGAAGAATTTTTTATCACGAGACGTGTCGTATAGACACCCAAAATGTAGTGTGGCTTAAGTTTTAAACAAATTTATTATATGATTCATTTTTGTACGTTAAGATGATTTAAAAGGTTATTTGATATTTTTGGTATTGCGGAAATCAGTGGCATTTTTCTGTAGCTAAAACCTCAAAAAAAAAAAAAATACAAAGAAATCTAAACTGCATTCCATAGAGCAATAAATTCATCTGTGAGTAAAAATGTATCATCTAATTGGAATAGGCCCATGGGTTTATACAACTATTATTGTGGCGTTTAGCTTTAGACTGAACACATATCGTTATACACGTGCCTGACCAGTCAATTTGATATAGATAATAAATAGACCTACGCATACGGTACCGTACTACCATTCATACGAGTCAATGAATCAATAAAACGCTCAATCTATCTTTTGCCACTTTCATTAACTCATTACTTGTTTTGTAACATTATCACATATGATATTATTAAGTTTTATATAAAACCTGTGGTATTAGTTAATAGACGGTTACCACTCAAAAACCAATAGGAACACCAACCAAACCTAACCAAGATTTCCGAAAACTATAATACGGGAATAGTTATATTTTATTTATACCTGCATATAAATAGATGTAATTATGAGTTATGACTCGTTTGGAAGTGATAAAAAGTAATCACAAACATTGTTAGCAATCAAAACAGAGATCTGTAATTCTAATAATTAGTTAATTCTGAAATTTCACAAAACCAACTTGAGATTATTATACTTAGATACTTCAACTATAATTTATGCAACTGGATACAACTCGATTCCAACTGTACCATTCCGATCAAAATAATTACACTTTGTATCGCGGAAAAGAAATATATTGGACTCGGAATCGTGATGCTGATAAAATCACAAAATGTCCCTTTAAAAATGAGAACCAATATTCGTAGAAAATGTATTAGTATTGCGTCTGACCAACATGTCTATGAATACTGATCCAGTCACCAGGGGTTACTAGGAATCAGCATCACGGCTCGCGACTCAAGAACTTTGCAGACAATATATTATTATTATACATACACTACATTTAAAATAGGTAGAATATATACAAACGAACTGTTACCGTGAAGAAAATAAAAACATTTGTTTCATAATTTTGCACAATAACAAACACTATAACATTAATAACGCTATACACTAAATAGGTAACTACTACAGTATTTACCTGATCTTCTGTTTATTAAAAAACGTCGATAGTGTTGTCGTTACGATAAATCCATTCGTACAATCAAAATGTATCTATAAACAAAACCTCTATTAAAAAACTCAAAAAATGGCAGCAGTTTATAATTTATTTATACTATTAAGAATATATTACAATTTTATATCAAACATGAATCATAGTTCTATGACAGTAAAATAACATACATTTAGGTAAATTATATTGATCTGAAAGAAACGCATCCCTCAAGATTAAAATAGGATACACTAAAAATATTATTTTTATTTAATGTTTAATGTTTAATAATAATAATCTACATAATACAATATAGGATCATTATTTATTATACACATTATGATATTTCAACGATACGCATTAAAAAAGCTACTAATTGACAATATTATATAATAATATGTTTGTGTTTGTAAGTATAAAATATTATACTTTTTTCGGTTTCTCAAATACAAACATTAATACATATTTTTAAAATGCTTAGGCTAAAATTGTAGTTTAACATTATTGTAGTGTTACTATAGCGTTTCTGCTATATTATTTATACGGCGAATATTAGCACAGTAATTTTATATTCCGAGCATGATTGAAATTTTAAATATACTTAAATGGTGATTTTTAAAACACGATATTTTATTTTATAAAATATTTTCTTGTATTGAATGAAATACAATTAGTTTTTTTATTTTATAAATGGCTAAAAATGAATCAAACAAAGTTTAAATGTAATGAATATAATATAGTTTATATAATATAACACTTATATGCGTAAAAGTGTAAATAAAAAAATACATATTTTTTTGTTTGTATTAGGTATTAATATATTATATAATATAATATAATAAATTATATAATATATTAATATCTAATAGCAAACATTCAGAAATATATAAATATATACTTTTTTAATTATTGTTTAAATAACTATGTTTTTATACATTATCTACATAATTATAAAAGTATTGATTTTTTTTTTTAATTACTTAATTAATCCATGGAAACATGAGCCATTGGATGTTTATTTTTATTATGTTTTTTAATGTGAAAGAATGTAAGGTTGGTTTGGAACACGTGTATGTGTGACAAGGTTTTTACCACTTAGAACCCGGATGGTCACCCATCTGAGAACTATAATACAGTGGAAGTGAACAGTACACTTAATAATATTGCGTGAATAATTATAGCAACCGCGCCATGCCACAAAATTATTATTTTATTGACCATGACATTTTCCATTTTTATTTAAATATTAAATTCTTATTGTAAGAATAATAAATAAATTATGAATAATAAAAAGGGAAGCCATAAAATAAATTTTTAATGATTTACATTTGCTTTGTTAAACAAAATAAACAAAATTTATTCATTTTAATTAATTTTTTATCTTCCAAATTATTAATTAATGTCTAGGAAAAGATTTTAAAATTATTAAATACCAGATTCCTCGTAAGTTGTTGTTACTGGAATTTCTAAAGTCGTGGTTACGAGTTATTACAGTGACTTGAAACTTGGTATGGTGTATTTGATCATGCTACTGACGCTATGAAAGAAATAAATTATTAGGCAAAACCATTATATAGGTATCATAATGATCGATTTAGTGAGCGGAAATTCAGCATCGCCAGAGTGATTTGTTTTTCTACCATTGTGGTTCTATGAGTTTGGAGAAGACATCAACGTTTAGATTGGGCGATTTGATGATACTCCGGGGAAACCAAATCAGATTAATATGTTGCTATTCTCTTTTTGTTATACAACTACCATAGCTTTAGTATTAAATGTTAATCTATCTTCTGTATAATTATATAAATTAAAATTAAAATATATTATTCGTCGGTAATCAGGTCCCTTATTGATAACGGCTGGACCTAACCTGGACCGATTTGTCACATTTTTATTTTCTTTACTTCGCAACAATAGTTCAAAAAAGATATTAACAAAAAGAAAAATTCGAAGTCTCTAACTTTTTTGACTCTGTATACAACTACATTTATCTATCTATTCAAAAATAGTGAAGTTTAAATTAAATTTTATACGTTTCGAATAACCTCAAGAAAAAAATGTAAACTTTTAAAAGTATCAAATCGACGAGGACAAACCATACCTGTTGTTGTAAGAAATCTTCGGGCGTCACGGTTTTCAGCCAAAAAATATACTTTCCTTTTCGGCCAGTACCTACGGTTTTTCATATTATTATTAGCTTAGTCGCATAAATTAATAATTAGTTTTTGATTGAAAAATTTTTTTATAGTTTGCACTCTTCGATGTAAGTTTAATTTCGTTCATAGTTGGTTTTTTGGTTTTTTGGAAATAAAAATAAAGCAGTATTATCTTTGTTAATTTGATATAATATAATGTAAAACGCGACTGAATCAATTATAAAGTAGTATCAAAATATTTTGTCTGAAAATGACGAAAAACTAAAAAAATACTATAATTACTTGAATTTCAACGTTTTTTTTATCAAAATTACTATTATATATATAGATATTATAAAAGTATATTAATTTTTATTCAACTATTGTATTAGGAAACCTTAACTCTCAATATATTCATGAATTCAGATTTTATTAGTATTGTAAGACTACATTAATATTTATTCAATTAATTTAATATGTTATAAAACAGTTTATTGTCAATTGTTTTATTTTATTATTTTTTCACATAGGTAGTTGTAGATAATAATGTTAATAAAAAAATTACTGGCCGAAAAGGGGGCAACCCAAATCTGCATCCCTCTACTTCAATCGAATTTATTAAAGAAGATTAGGCAACTGTAAATTCTTAGCTTGGGACTTAACCAATGTTCTGCATTATCAATCAAAATCCCCCTTACCTCTATTATTTGTAGACCTCGAACCAACCATTCACAACAAGACAATTATAGAATTAAAATTTCTTTACTACACAAATATTAAATTTGAAACTTCAGAACTAAAAAAAAAAAACAAATACCACAATGTAAGTGTAACCAGGGCTATGGGCATAAATGCCATTACAACAATAACATACGTCATTGCGTCCGATGTGTCGAGTAACCTCAAACAACAGTACGAAAAGTAAGGAACTTCTAAAAATATTATGTGCTGTGTTTTAACAACTTTCGAGTGAATTACAGATATTGCCTAATTCTCAAAAGATTTARAATCGCCAAAACCACACCATTCTTCTTAAGTATAGAAAAATCAGACAAAAAACATTATGGTTTAGAGTAATTATTTAAAAATATATATGTTGTCATCGGAAAAAAATAAAAGTTCAAAAATTATAGTGACAAAAAAAAAGCGGGTAAGTCGTGGATGTCGCTCTGCTGTACAGTAGGTTACAAGTGGGTTACCTAATGTAATGTATGAAATTAAATTTGAATCCAATGATATTATATCATTGTATACGAAAAACGATTCTGAGCAGAGACGGTATATCTGTCTAGGATAAAATATAGATTATTAAAAATTTTCAAATCTTGGATTTAAAAAGAAACATTTTTATGCATTTCTAGCATAAAATAATTTACAAATTATCATGATTTTTACGTATGTTGTCAAAATTCAAACTTTGAATGCTTATAAAATAAATTGTGACTATATATTT